ACCGAGAGAGAGCCGCGGATCTAGCGGGTGAGGACCGAGAAAAGGACGAGCCCGTCTCGGATCCCTCCGCTAAATCCACCCACGATCCCCACGACAACAGTCTACGCCGTGCCTCGGCAACAGCGGGACCGCTGCCAGCGGGATCGCGAGCCTGGCCGCTCTCATCAAACACAGCCAGGCGAGAGCGGAGCATACGCAGCTAGAGTAACTCGCAGTGATGACAATCAGCTCCTCGAAAGCTGACCGTGCATGCTCCGTTCCTAAACAAACAACACACAGATCGTGTGTATCCCCCGTTGCCAGATAGTGTGGGCAGGGAGGCAGACAACGTCTGTAATGCCGTTTGCTCGCCATAGATATTAGTTTAGACTTTGATATATTATTTTGAATGCTTGTGGACTGACAGACAACAGTAAATAGACTTCCCAAAGCGATCTCGACGCAGCTCGAGTTCCTGAAGGGGAAACTATTATATGCCCTTGTATTCATAATTTGTGTGAAAAGCAATAAGATGTTAGTGTTTAACTACTATTACTGTTCATTTCAGCTGGGAAAATGTAGTTAGAGGCATGTTTTTTTTTCCATTGAGCCTATAAATGAGTTGGTTACAAGAAACAGCAAACAAAATAACATCACAGGCTCATTGGAAGAATGTGCCTCTGCTTACATTTGTAGCGCCACTCACTGGACATTTAATTTCCGAACTGCCACAATATGTACAACAGCCAACACTGTCAGACTTTTAGTGCCTCTTACTGGATATTACACTTTGAAAATGTCGAAAAATGTGAAAGAAGCATTTTAATAACTTTTTTATTTTTATTTCGCTAATTATTATTATTTTTTTGTAATTTAAATGGTCTTGTTACAAATCTTCACCTTCAGTCTTAGAAGTTTTCTTTTGTGCCAATACTTTGGTGACAGAATGCTGTAGAGTCAGCAGCAGTGCGGCTTGGCAAAAGCAGGTGGAAGTAAACACCCTCTTGAATCATAAAATTACAAATGGCACACCTTACAGTCTCATGGCATTTGGGAAAAGAACAATGTTGAAATAGATTAAGGAAGACACTAACTCTGTGGTTCCTTGTTTGGTCCTGGATAGTTTAGAAATCTTTCTTTGGGAACGCCTATGCATGACCACGTTCTGAAGCAGGTGTGGAACCAGTCCAATGGAGAAGCGAGACGTCACAAGCGGGGTGATATGAACATCCAGGAAGCTTAAAAGTGCACCCGGCACAGTGCATGTTAGCTTCTGATGGATGAAGGAAGCGCCTACAGGGATGCAGGGAGTATGGCAGAGAGACGCAGCATCTTGTTCCCTTTAGGGAACCATGGATACATACGTAACCTGAGACGTTCCCCATCAGGGAACCCGAGCTGTGTCTAGATGCTTTGGGAACGAGAATGCCCACTGCACCATACAAACAAGTCCCTGTCTGGTGTGTATCAGGTGAGCATATCTAAGACGAGAGGACTTGGAATCCTGGGGTACAGGACAGGTCCATGTTATAGAACCGAACTAATGTGTGCGGAGAGGACCAGCCTGCCACATCACGAATGCCCTACAGGGAAACACCCATGAATAAGGCCTTGGAGGCCACCAAACTCCGGGTTGAGTGGGCTCTGACCCACCAGAGCAATTGGGGGAAAGGCATACAGACAAGCCTTGGCCACTTTTGCACCATGGCATCCAGCCTAAGCGGAGCTGGATGCATAAGGGAGAACCAGAGCGGACAGTATGTCGTTTCCTGTGACGTAAATAGATCCACTTCCGACTGGCCGAACTCCCTCCAGAGGAGCTCCATCACCTTAGGGTCGAGCCTCCATTTCCCAGGCCTCAGACCTTGTCTCGACAGGATGTCTGCTCCCTGATTCAGGTTCCCAGGGATGTAAACTGCTCTGAGTGAGAGGAGTTTTCCCTGAGCCCACAGGAGGATCTGGTGTGCCAAGTATAGTTGTATTGTGGGCGAGAGCGCAGACCCCCCGGTCGTTGATGTAGGAGACCACCGAAGTGTTGTCTGTGCGGACAAGCACATGATGACCCCTCGGGTCTGGAAAGAAGTGTTTCAATGCATGAAACATGGCCAGCATCTCCAGGCAATTTATGTGCCACGTGAGATGGTGGCCTACCCACAGACCCTGGGTGAGCGGCCACTCATGCCACTCCCCAGCCCGTGAGGGAGACATCTGTTGTTAGCGTTACGCGACGACAAGAAGCAATACTGGGCCTTGAGACAGGAACCAAGGTTTATTCCACATGTCTAAGGCACGAAGGCATTGCTGCGTGACCTTGATCATGTGAAATGGGTTGCCCCTCGGGGAAAACCCCTTGGTCCTGAGCCACCACTGCAAAGGTCTCATGTACAGTAGGCCAAAATTTATCACGTTGGACACGTGCCATCAGTGTCTGAAACTGTTTGACAGCGAGTGACTGGCCTTCTGTCACTATCTTTATGGCTGTGAGAATCGATTCGATACGAGCAGGAGACAAACATGCCTGAATTGTCGTTGAATCGCACACCACACCAAGATAAGGGGTTCTCTGAGCTGTTGAAATCACACTCTTCTTGGCATTCAGCCTCAACCCCAGCTCTTTCATATGGGTGAGGATGACATCTCGATGCCAAATCACCTGCTGCTGAGACTGCACTAGTATCAGCCAATCATCTATATAATTTGGTATATGGATGCCCTGGAATCACAGCGGAGCCAGAGCAGCATCCACACACTTGGTGAAAGTGCGGTGTGAGAGTGATAGGCCAAAGGGAAGAACCCAATATTTGTATACTTTGCCCCCAAAAGCAAACCTCAGGAACTTCCTGTGTTGAGGAAGGATGGATATATGGAAGTATGCGTCCTTGTGATCTATTGTGACAAACCGGTCATCTGACCTGATCTGAGACACAATCTGTATCTTGAACCGAAAGCATTTGATAACGTGGTTCAGCAGACACAGATCTCTGATCGGACGCAACACACCATTCTTCTTCGGAATGATGAAGTATTGGCTGTAGAACCCAGACTCTCTCAAGAGAGGAGGAACACGTTCTATGGCCTCCTTCCTCAAGAGAGTGTTTAATTCTTGTTCCATTACCAGAGCCTGCTCGGGGCCCACTAGTGTGGGGACAACCATGTTGAAACGAGGTGGGCAAGAACCAAACTGGATTCTGAAGCCTCTCTCTACAGTCTGCAGGATCCATTGTGAGACATTTGGCAGAAGTTTCCATGCTGCCAGAAAGTTTACTAAGGGAACCAGCCATTCGGGGCTGGCCTCTGGTATGGCTAGAGGAGTCACTTCGGTGCCCTGAAGAGGATAACCTGCAGGGAACGACCGGAGGATCGGGCACCATATACTGAGATCTCTCATTAAACGTCCTGCTTCTCAGCCAGCCAATTGATTTTTAACTTGGCCACAGCATGAGTGACAACCTCCATGAGTTCCTCATGCAGGAGGGACTGTGGCGGAGAGTCAACAGTCTCCTCAGCATCGATGCTTATCACAACAACCTCCTTGGAGTAAGAGAGATGAAGCGCCTGGCTCTCTCTGGGGGGAGAGCAAGCCGGAGCATGCTTCCGAACCCTGAGATGGAGCCGCGGATCTAGCGGGTGAGGACCGAAATAAGGACGAGCCCGTCTTGGATGCCTCTGCTTAATCCACTTGCGATCCCCATGACAACAATCTTCGCTGTGCCTCGGTAGCTGCGGGACTGGAACCAGAGGGAACGCGAGACTGGCAGCTCTCATCAAAGACAGCCAGGCAGGAGCGGTGCACACGAAGCGGGAGCTGCTCACAATCAGGGCAATCAGCCCCCCTGAGAGCTGACCGTGCATGCTCCACTCCCAAAAAGATGACACAAAGATTGTGCTTATCCACCATGAGGTAACGAGGGCAGGGAGGAACACACAATCTAAACCGTCGTCTGCTCGCCGATTTGGACTTTTCTTTACACTTTGATATTTTTGCTTTCTTACTAACAAAGTGTATCTGACTGACTGCTTGTGCAAACACAACACACTACCACAACGCTCTTACTGAAGAGCAGAAGCTAACATGCACTGTGCCGGGTGCACGTTTAAGCTTCTTGGTTGCTCACGTCACCCCACTTGTGACGTCTCGCTTCTCCATTGGACTGATTCCACACGTGCTTCAGAACATGGTCATGCAGAGGCGTTCCCAAAGCGTTTGAACTCAGCTCGAGTTCTCTGATGGGGAACTGGATATATAAGTTCTCCATTGTGTGAAGTAAATGAGGGCGATGGGATTTTGGGGCAACCTAGATATAATTTTTTTTTTTTTTCAGCTGATGACCTTTTGAAGTGGGAATGTGATGTTTCATTACATTAGGAGGTGGCATTTCATTGACAGGAGTGTCCAACATTTCACTGAAAAGTAGTTAATAGAGAAGAGAGCAAGAGAGTTAGAAGAGTTAGAAGATAGATAGCGAGGGGCCATGCAGCTTAATTTAATTTCCCCAAAAATATTATGACTTTATACATCCATCCTTATGGCTTTCTTATGTTCTCCTAATTAGAAAGATAAGAGTTAAATGAAATGGAGCTTCTATATAGATGGCTCTAAATGATATTTCAGATGCTCTGTTGTACATTTAAAGGAATGTTTCACCCAAAAATGACAATTCTGTCATCATTTACTAGATTAATATTATCCAAATGTTTCTTCCATTGAACACAAAATGAGATTTATTTTTTATCTTTTTCTGATTGTCCAAGCTGCACTCCTTCATACAATAAAGGTAATAAACAAATCCCATTTGTCTTATTCAGACTCATCACAGCAGGTAATTTTGTGACAATATTTGGCGACAATATAAACGATGCTTGTCCATTTGTGTTCCATGAAAGAAAAATGTCTTTGTAAGAACATCAGGGTGAGTAAATGATGACAGAATTTTCATTTTTGGAAACTATTGGTACTACTGGAACTATTCCTGTAATTCTGTAATAGCCTTATTTATATTCTGTCTCTCTCTCCCACTTAGGTCTGATTCGATTACAGGAGCTCATCAAGGCTCCATCTCGTTACAACATCCGATTAAAAATCCGGCAGCTACCAGCAGAAACAAAAGATGCCAAGCCCCTTCTTAAAGAAATGAAACGAGGAAAAGAGTTCCATGTGATCTTTGACTGTGGTCATGAAATGGCAGCTGGCATCCTTAAACAGGTGAGTCACTTCCATTATCTAATTTCACATTGAGGATTACAAAGACTGATTTGGAAAGTTAACTGATATAATTATTATTATTATTATTTTCAGATTTTAAATTACACGAGTAAAGAATCCTTTACATTACATTATCTGACTTCAACATAAGTGAAGGATAAGGTCTTCTAAATAATGTAGCAACGAGTTACAAGTGTGCAGAAAATTATTGTACATTAATTTAAAGATATAAAATTGTGGATACACGTATAAGAAAGTCATAGACATAGGATTTTTAGATTTGTAGTTTTCCTTCTTCTTTTCCTACAGAAAACTGGATACCCTTCCCACCCCCCACCCCCTTTTGTCCCCAAATCGTCTTTTAAATGAAGATTGCATTCGGTTGCATCTGTCTTGAAAAAGTTTTACCAGGCTTTCATTAGTTATTTTGCTGATTCCTAAGCCTTTTATGTATAGATTTTTTTGTTGTTGCCATTACCATTATCCAGTCCCAGACTTTCAGTCTTATTAAATTTAAAAGTATGAAAATCCATCTTAAAATTTTAAAGTAAAAAAAAAAAAAAAAGTTAGTGTATTTGCTTACCAAGAAGATAAGAGTGTCAGTGAAGAGCATGCTTGATATGAAATCTGATAAATGTGATGTGTGAAGTATGAAAAAAAAAAAAAATCCAACATAGTCATTTCCACCACAGGATGCTACTAAACACAATACATAATATGAAATACTGATAGAATTGTGAGTGTGCAAAATAAATAAAGTATCAATAGTGTGTAATTTTTACCTGCAAAAAGAAAGTTCATCAAGACAACCTTTAAATGTTGGTTTGACAAAACATAGTCTGAAATTGTAAAACACCTTCAAAGTTTGAAGGATAGCAGGCAAACAAACAGACTTATTTATACATTTTACACCTGTACCATCAGCTTTCCACTCTGACAAATCTACTTGCATCATTTTATTGAAAACATGGAAGAGTACAAAGGTTGGCTACTACTTTAGTGTGGAACTTAAGTTCTAGTGTAAAATAAAATTATCAATTTAATTTTAATTGATTTAAATTAATTTAATTAATTCAATTTTCTGGGTTCCAACTAGTGTTAAGCAGAATAACAAAACCTGTTTATCTCAAGACATTTATAAGTGAACGTAATAGCTTCCTGAGACCCAGCCATGTACTTTTTTCCTCTGTAGATGACAATATATTTTAGCACATTTTTTCTGAGACCATACATGTCAGAAAGTACTGTAAAGAGCACATTCAGGGCTTTTGACCATAAAAACTTCCTCTACTTGGTCTATTAAAATGACTGACATTAGCTGTTTCCATCACCTTGTTTTTATGCACATATCACATCAGAAACAAGTGATGGAAATGGCAAATTTTGAAAAAAAAAAAAAAAAAAACAGACAAAAAAACCCTTTAATCCCTTAATTTGAGCTAATGGAAGTAATGGGAAATAGAAACACATTTCCCGAATAAATTCCTCCATGCACATAAAAAAAAAATCATGTGACTTTGCACGATAGGACGGCATAACTTGGCTAACCAGTGGACCAGTCTCGTTGCACAGCATCTGAAATGTTGTTTTGGTCATTTTGCAATGCCTGAGCCAAAGTATGTCATCAAAGTATTTCTGTATAATTGCCTCCCAGAACTGTCTTACAAGACTGCATTCCCAAACAGCAGGCATTCTCCTCCGAAAGCAATGACCGCATTTATTGTGTTTCGTCTGCTCGCTCTTGAGGCGAAGTAATGTATTATATATGAAAATTATTATATTCAGTGGCTTCTCCTACTTTTCTTAGTGATATTTAGAGTCAGTTTATCAGGAAGTGACAATTTTGTTCTCTTTGACTCACTGGATGGAAACAGTGCTTCATTTGCAAATGGTTTATGCGATATTCCAATTTTTGCGCAAAAGTTACATTCGCAACTTTGGATGGAAACATAGTGATTGACTGAATGACTGAATTCAGCACTCTTATCATTTAATTGTCATTTAAATCTGACTCATTTTTCTCAGGAGAACTTTATGGGGATTCAAATCAGAAGATAACTTTCTGTTACAAAACAGGGCATCAATTTTATACATGTCCTCTGTAGAGGACAGCAGAACATGTTTATCAGACATTTTGAAAGGACACAACAAATGAATTGGGAAATATATTGCATAACATTATTCCTATGAAATAGGAGATCTGAAAATTTGACCAATTTGTTACTCTCATTATAACACTTCTTTTTCATTACATGTTGCCCCAAGAACATATAGGCAAATTATATACAATGTATAGATACAATCAATGTATGGAAAGGGAATACCCATTTATGGCCAAGTTTACAAATATATTGTATAAAGTAAAATAGTATTTCAAATAATTGTGTAATATGTTTAATAGTTGAGAATCATCTTTGTACAAAGTTTAATAAAAAAATTCATATACTGTCTTATCATTTTCCTAATAACTCAGTCCTGATGTCCTCTACAGAGTACATAGCATAAAATATCAATAAAATATATTTTTCTAATTTTCCCCATTGTTTTTTATGCTCGAAATAATGTAATGACATAGAATGAATGAATGAATGAATTAATTAATTTATGTACATAGTCCAAAATTAATATATATGATTTGGATGATACTTATATCTTATAGGAGTATATAATGTGATACATTGTCACCATCCAATTGTGCATTGCTACTCAAGTTATCTCAACTCAGTCTAGAAGTGTATGTGAAGAACCAAATTAGCCAGATATGAATTACAACAATGAGAAGCTTTGACATGTTGCGTTATTTTACATTTATTGAGCGACATGTGAAGAACAGAGCCCTCGTCTTTATGATCCTAAAATGTGGATTATTTGTATGATTACAAGCTCTGCTGATATGGTGATTTTATCCTCTTTTTATGTCATGAAGGAGAAAAGTACATGCATTGTTTTTGACCCGTTAATTTATTGTCTCTTTTGGTCTTGTGTGAGATTGATTTTTACACAATCAGTGAAGTGTACTGGTTTCAATGATTACCCATCAGCCAGTCAAGCTTACATGATCCGTTAGTCAGTATGTTTGCATGCAATTAGTCAATAGGGTAATGCTCCTGATGTGAAGTGCTGCAAGAACAATGCTTTTAAGCACTTTTGTTCCTAATATCTAGGTATACGCTATATTTTGAGAAGGGTCTGGCTGCTAGGGGTGGGAATCACCAGAGGCCTCACAATACGATATTATCACGGTACTTGTGTCACGATACAATATTATTGCGATTTTAAATATATTGCGATATTCTGCGATATATTGCAATGTATTACCTTTTTCCAACTTCAAATTATGTCCCCAAAGGAAAACTTTGACAACATCGGTTTTAACTAAAAAGAAGCATTTCTCAGTTTGTTTATTTCACTTCAGTTTTATTGCTGCAGTGCAAAATGGGATTGTTAAGCAGACAAACTGACCAACACTTTCATGAAAACCTGTCATAAATATTGTATGTAACTGGCAAACTCAACTATTTGTATTACAGTCTAATCTAGTCCACCTTAATTAAATGTAAACAGGTATACACTGCTGTGCTACTACAGGTATTTTGAACAATGCAACTTGAAATTGTACTAAAAAGT